GAGATTAAATTTGATCGTTTTATCTTAGAGGCAAGGTCAGGCCAAGGTCATTATCTTTTTCCTTGACATTATGAATAAAAAAAATACTGTTGCCAATCATGTGATGCCTACTTCTATTTCAAAAATTTAAAGATTGTACTTTTTGCATGGAAAGATATTACTATATCGGGTCAATAGCAAGACATTACCAAATTTACATACGTAATTCGTAATAATACAAACGTAATAATGGCTTATCCGAATTTTTTCTGTTTTTCTTAATTTTTTAGGCTATATTAGTTATCTTCATATGCTTCCTATATTTCACTTTTTGTTATTTTCGCATATGATAAAGTAGTCTTTTAAATGTACAAAATGATACAAAAACAAAAAGATTTGATCGTTTACTAAGAGAGAAAATATGCTTTTCATGGATTTTTGGCTCAAATCTATACTTTGATTGGAAGCGTTCAAAAGCTAACATAGTTCTAGTTTGTTTGAAATATCACATTTATTTGATATATTTTGAAAGTTTAGTCCCTTATTATTAATTCAACTTACATTGAACAATTTTTCAAGTCTTTTATTGTGTAAAAATTATAACTAAATTCATTGATCTATATGTTATAATTTTGAGAGACAGAAAAAGAATACATTTTCATACGCCACCATTCCGCCAAAAATATAGTCCTTCCGAGTTTTCAAGCGCAGTTTTTCATTTCTATATAAAGTAGTACAATTGTGATGAAGAAAGAAAAAATATGGTTTTTTAAATCCCTTACACCTAAATATATAAGACATATTTTTAGCAAATATACTTTGAATGTTTCATCTAGTCAGAAACCAGAGAAGAATCCTACCTTAAAGGAAGTGATCGAGATATTTTCATCAAACTTCAGACATTTATACAAATTTTCATGTTACATTACTAATATACATTCGGCGGGAAATTCGTGTCCGAAGGACATATTTCTATTCCATGATAATTTGTTCACATTAACTACGGTACGTCATGCATCAAAGGAGATTTCCAATGTTGCAAAAATGAGAGAAAAATGGCAGTTTCCAGTAAAATTTCAAATACGGTACAAAATTTCATTTCTGGTAAATTTTGGTGTACTGCTGTGAGCCTGTGAATGGGGTAAACAAATTTGACAATTTGTGTACAGATGGTACACAGCACAAATATGCCCTTATACAAACTGAACTTTCATTAAGTATTCTGGTCATCACTTGGAGAATAACAATTTATGATTTTGGCAACAAAATATGATAAGTCTGTATAGTATATACATCATTCTACATTCAATTGATGTTTGTGATGAAATATTTCAAATAAATCTGATTATATGAATGATTTTAGTAAAAATTGATCTACATTGTATTTTAAATGTTACACAGAATATATAAAGATTTTTACAAGTCCTTCCTTGTATCCTACCCACAGTGTAGACTTGTAAAGGGACAGTGAGGATGGATGATTCACTTCATTGTCTGTCAGTAAGATCTTCAGGAATTTCCCGTCAGGACTAAGTAGATGGATCTGTTTGTAGTATTTATCGGTAACAAGAATGTTACAGAAGGAGTCACATGCTACATCTCCTGGATCAAAGTCCTCTGTCAGGTTCCGTCCTCGGTAAACAGACTTTAAATGACCAGAGGGAGACAGAATCACTAGTTCACCTGTAGTGTTACTTGTATAGTTCACAACACAGATATCACAATTCCTGCTTTGTGTTACTATGTATGGCCATGTAAACTGTCTGGTCTGACCGTCCTCCTGGTATTCATACTCATGGATGACTTCACCTGTCATTGTGATGTGTCTCACCAGACGTCTGCTGTGTGACTCTACTTTGAAACGATCTGATTTATTGTCTCTCAAGACGACCAGTAATCCACCGTACACTGACTGACAGATTCCCCATGGTAACAGTGGATCTGTACTGACGATTGTAGAGACAGATCCTGATGGTGACAGACAGCTTATGGATTTCTTACTATAATCAGTGAAATAAACATCACCGTTTACAATCATACATATGTCATGTGGAAGAATACTAAATCTATGTGTTATTGCACCGTTATTGTCAACTTTTACTGAAAAATCTGAGAACGTTTTTCTTATGTAACACTGGACTTCACTGAATGCCTCCAAAACTAATATTGATGCATTTTCATATTGAAATGAATTTGTCTGAATCATAGCAATATATTCTAAATTAAAAGTTCTTCCAACCATAGACTCGACTAAGTCATCATTAATTTCACCTCTAGTGAACTTCACTGAATGTTCACAGTTTGTTGTATGAACTTTCAATTCAGACAGCATTTTTGTCAGTTCTCTGTGGATGTCAACCAAGCTGTAATCAGACATGGTGCTGTTGTGTTCCTCCATGAACTTCACTGTGTCAACAATCTCTCTCTTCTTCTTCTCCAACACAGTTTTCACCTCAGGTGCAATTCATCATTCTTTTGAACTAAATTTTGTCTTAATTTTTCTTCAAGACGTTTTTTGATTTCTATCAACCTGGCTATTATATCATCAACATGTTCCTGAAGTTTTTTAATCTCAGCATCACAAAGTTTTTTATTTTCTTTAATCTGTTGTGGAATCTTCTTTATTTTCTTATCAATCCCAGGCAGATTCTCTCCCTTTATCTTTTTAAAAAATATATGTAGACCTCTTCTCATTTGGGTTGCTGCAGTAGTTAGAGTTTTCCAATCATGATCTCTATGATCTGTTTTAGCACACTTGGCACAAATAAATGTATCACAGTCCTCGCATACCATATCAATAGGTAACTCATGTGTTTCACACATTTCTATGGGTGCTAAAGGAGAACCAAGGGAATATTTTTCTGAGTTGCTGGCAGCCATGTTTATCGGGTGAAGCCAGCTACCTGAATGACCTAGTTTCTTGTATGCATGCTAGATATATAATAGCAGGTTTTTAAGTTGGGTTTTAAATTTATTCAGTGTGACGCTTTGATGTGCAATGAAATGTAAGCGTAAAGATGTTTTTATTTGTAGTGAGAAATCACTTGGTTTAGGAAAAATGCTTAATCTAAAGTTGATTACATGTTTTATTATTTTCTTTAAGATATACAAATAATTGATTATGAATTAATTAAATGAGATTAGCCCTTTCATTCATAATATCCTACTATTTAATCACCAGGATGAAATTTGGTGAGTCATATTACATTCACTTGCCCTTAGCTACCTTAATTTTTATTTGTCTCGCCTAAAACTTGTTTTAGATGCAAACGTTTCTTAAAATGCGTAATTACATGTATAATAATGCATACAATGGTACCTTGGATTTGAACCTCTCACATTGATTTTTGTCGATATTTTGTACCGGTATTTGAAAAGTTTTTTGATAAACAACGTACAGTATTTTCAACCAAATTCCAGTATATTCTTGTACAATATTTGGGTTTAAAAATTATCATATGTATGCAAACCAGGTAATTAACTATTTAACCAACTTTTATTTGCAAAAAACATTTATCATTCATGATTCATCAGTTACTAATTCATCTGGTACTATTAGTTTCTTCAACTGAGTAAAGAAGATTACAAAAAATATTTTATAGTTATTGATATGCAAATGTAAGTGAAGTACGTTATATGTGTACATGCTGTGTACATGCATGTAGTGCATAATGCTGTTTTAGTACATTTGATAAATTGTCTCTAATCATTTCAGGGGTGAGAGGAATTGTGGGCGTATCAAGAACTGCTGGAAACCTAGCTTTGTCAAGCGTCTGGCTTATTGTGTGTCTGCAGAACACCTATCGCTCATGAAAATACCTGGCGTCAAACTGGTACAATACATTAAAAGTTGTTTAAATTGTCTAATATTGTCTATTATGATGTAGGCAATGTTTCCTTGAAAGTCTTTTGAGTAAAATTCGTCGATAAAAATGTTGTTTACCTTATGTTGTTAAATTCTATAAAGCCAGTTTTTGCATTTGATAAGCTTTTTATAATAATTATTTCACTTTTCATCACAAAAATTCTTTATGAAAATAAAATTTTATGAATCCTTTAAGTGTTATTGTACAGATGGCAACATCTGAAAGAAATTTTTTGAAGAGATTGATAAAAAAAATTGTACACATTGATTACATTGCAGGTGTAAAATAATTTTTTTTAATTTTTACAATTGATGATATTAAACTATTATAATGCATTTCAGTTACATTACATAAAGATCTTTACTTTATGTCATTGAACTACTAGTAGTTGCTTAATCTATTTGAATTTTTTATAAGCATATAAAAATGAATTGTTCTTTACAAAGTGTTTTTGACATATTTGTACAGGGTCGAGCTAAGCAGTTATACAATGCGGGATTCCAGTCTGTGGCTGATCCCGAGATCTTTGTTAAATCCATACAGCATATCCCTTGTAAAGTGGCCAAACAGATCGTCACATCCACAAAAATAAAGTTTCTCGTGGGCCTAAATTAAATGACTTTCAGAAGGATGTGGAAAAAACGAACAGTATTCAATCTCAACGTTCATTAAACAAATATACAAAATAAGAGCAGAGCAAACACGGACCTCCGAAACATCAGAGGTGGGATCAGGTGTCATAATAGTAATGCGGATAATGATACATCAGCATTGCAAAGCTGAATATTCATTGTTGATGAACTAGATGCAATGAATTATGCCTATTTACTCTTAAACTTATTTTATGATTTCTCTGTTATTACATACCTTTACAAAAACTAATTTTCTTGTTTCTTTGTTTTTATTTATTTTTTTACAAAAATTATTTTTTTCTGGTTTCTCTGCTATTACATATCTTAAAACAAAACTATTTTCTGGTTTCCCTGTTATAACATATCTTTACAACTTCTATGCTTACCTTTTGACATTTCTTAAACTTTCTTTATTGATGGGGATTTTATGCACTTTCTTTGGTTGATAGATCCCAAATAAAATATATTTTTGGCTACTGTTTTAATTAAAATAAAAATGTGCTCACAGAACATAATTTTGTAGGTTTTACTAAATGAGAAAGCTGAGGTCTTACTACAGGAAGTGGAGGAACTGATGACGGTTCCGGTCGACCGATCAGCTGTACAGAGTTCACAGGGTCAAGCCTCTCCCTGGGATGACATGGACTTGTTTTCTAGTCTTATACACAGTCCTCTACCTCATTATGAAAACTGACATCCTGTTTACTTGGACAAAAAGTGCATTTAGAAAATGAGGGAATAATCATGAACCCCACAAATGATTTACGTGTAAATTCCTGCCGTCCTTTGGGTTTAAATAAGTTGAATGTGACGTCTTAGTTAAACAGACTGTAGTGCTTAGGTTGTTCAATTGTTCATTTAACTTCTGAATATACAGATTGCTATTTTTTTTTACATGAAAGATAATTACTTGTACCTAGTCAAATATGTATGTAGCATACAAAGTGAATGTGCAAGATCGGTGTCTGCTAATGAAAGAGTGATGCTTAAAGAAATATAAACTAGCTGACTATGTATATAATTCATGTACATGTATTTTTTGTAAACAGAATATTTTACTCTATTTTGAAAATTGTTGAGAATATTGTATGATGTATATATCATCACATTATGTTTCTCTTAAGGACATACTCAAGGTACCTTACCTTTTAATAATTTTTAAAGATATTCTAAATTTAAACTTATAATATCACTACATGATTTAGGAAAAAATTAGCATGTGTTACCAGGTTTTTTTTAAAATATCAAATTATGAAAATTTTTGCATTATTCAAAGAAAAATGTACACAAATTACAAAACATAAATTCCAGATTTTTTCATCAAAATTTGATTTAGAAGAGGTGTACAAATCCATATATAGACAATAAAGGTATTACATACAAGTCTTTCATTTAGTGGAACTCTTCAACTCACTGCAAGAGAAGATCCCAATAAAATTCAGACTACATTGGGCATGACTTAAAATTCCAGTAATCATGTGCTTCTCTAATCATAAGTACTCACTTATTTAGTATTTCATTTATCTGTTGGCATCTATCATTTTTGAGTACCTCTAATATATGACTTTAGGGACTCCGACCCTCAGTTAGGGAAATTTAATCTTTCAATGTGCTTCAAGGTTCTATGCACTTCTCAGAAAGGTTTAATAAAAATTAGAAATTTTTATCCCGTAAAAATATTTTTAGATACTAATGTTTATAACATGATATGAAATTAAAACTGATTTATGAAGCTTTGCAAAGATCCATGAAGTACATTGATAGGCATATAATGAAAATTGTTGCATAAGAATATTTAATATTCAAGCTTCATTTAAAGACTTTTTGAATTAAATCATAAATTAAAGAGTTGTCCTTCCTAGCTTAGGGTCGGAGTCCCTTAACCAGTTTCAACCAAAAGGAGAACACATCCATGAGTAATGTGTATTTAGATTACTTTTCTCCTGAAGAACCATCTACACAGAAGTTTTTTGGAAGAATGTTTTTGTGATGAAAATTTTACATTTTGGTTTTCAAAATATGGAGTGCTAGGATGGACATATGTAAAATAAAGAAATATGATCATAACAAATATTTCTGCAATTCTTGTAGTATTTTTATTCAAAACTAGAGGAACTGTGAGCATTGAGCTCGCTAAATGATAACTTCCACCACCCATGTGAATATAATGGAAGTCACTGTTCCTATATATAATTAAGATTCTATGAAAGGATTATCAAATTTCATTTTTGTGGTAGTTGAGAGGATTTGTCTATTAAATGGGTACCCCAAAGCGTAACAGACAGACGGACGCATGTACAGCTAGACGGACGGCTACACACACTGATTACTATATACCCTACCGCTCTTCAAGTGGGGGGTATAACGATCTATTATAACATGCGATAATTTTTAGACCAAAGTACAATTTTGCCAAAAATGCTGTACTTTTATCATCAAAGAAAAACCCGTGCCAAATATTAACGAAACCTAAAATAAAACTTTTATTTTGATGTTTGTCATGTCCGTCTCCCGTTCTTTCGTTTGTCCTTCAAGCAAACTTTGCGTTTAGTTCAAAGCTCAGTTTCAAACAAACTATACTAGATATATTTTATCAAACTTCATAAGTGATAAATATTGATGAGAGTCTTGCAACTGCATCAAAATTTTTTGACTTTGACGGTTCCTTTGACCTCCACCTCACTTCTAAATAAAATGGGAAGCTCAGTTTTAATAATATGATTCAACAAAATGTGATCAGACTTCAAATGTTGATACATATATACTGATGTAATCTTTTCAAGTCCAACATTTTTTTTATTCTGATTATGTAATCAATTTCATATGTTGAGACATTCTGATGTAAGCTTTTTAATTGCATCGATTGTATTTACCTTGATCTTTCTTTTGACTAGGCCTCATTTTTCAGAAATTAGTGCGTAGCTCAGTTTTACATATAATTATCACACGTCATATGCTTATACATTCTTATGTAAGCTTTTAAATTGCATTACCATTTTTTGACCCTGGCCATTTCTTTGACCTTGAATCATTGACCCGATTTTTCTTAATTTTAGTGTTTAATTCAGTTTCAGATATTCTATACAAGATTGTGTAATCAATATTATTTGTTGATACATTCTGATGTATACTATTAAATTGCATCATTATTTTTTATTTCACCTTTCCTTTGACATTGACTTCGCTTTCCTTATATTAATGTTGAGCTCAGTTTTGAATATTTTTATATCGCATCATATTTTGATATGATACGTTCTGATGTAAGTTTTTAAACTGCATCCACATTTTCTCTTACTTTGACCTTTCCTTTTACCCTTCAACTACTTTTTATGATATAAATGCTTAACTCAGTATCAAAGATACCATTCAAAATATTTTTATAAAACATAGCATGCTGAAATTTATCAGTGGGACTTATTCAATTCCCTTTTCTTTATTATGTATTTTGCTAAGTTTTAATGAAAGCCATTTAAGATACTTTTATATTAACGTTCACTTATACATTTTTTTGTGACAATTTATTATCTTTATCATTATTCAAATTATCATGCCTCTCTACTAATATAAACTCGGCGGGGCATTTATGTCCTATGGATATATTTCTGGTTCCCAATGCTATGTTCATATTACCCATGCAAGCGCAGTAAGTCATGCATCAAACGATATTTTTAGAGTTGTGAGAATGAAAGAAAATTGGCGTTTCCAATGAACAACAATTAAAATACAGTACAAATTTTCATTTCATGTGAATTTTGGCGTTACTGCCATTAGTCAGTGAATGGGGTAAAAATATAATTGACATTTTCTTTATAGATGGTACATATCACAAGTATGCCCTTTTTGGCGAAGCAAGCTCAAAAGACTAAAGTGAAAGAATAAAGAAAAAAATCGGAATGAAATCTGTACAGTAAATACGTCAGGCAAATTTTTGTATGAGACATCCCCAGAATTCCTTAACAACCAAATGTCCTTCGGCGAATAAATAAATGAATAATAACGTAAAGCGTATACGACTTTCAGTTTGTAGGAAAAATCTTTCAAAGAATCAAAAGAATACCACTACAATGTTTTCTACCAAAATTGAACTAGGTCTATATAAGTATTAACCAGACACGCCTGTCTCTGTTAGCTCCGACGATCTCTGTGACGTCGTGTGACATAGGTAGTCGAGATGTCTCTTGCGGCTTGATGTTTGAAGACTGTGGCTGATCATTTTTTTAAAGTGTTTTTGATGGTACAACTGCGTTGCACCAACGGTCACACAGTTAAAATATTAATTAATAATTTTGGTAACAAAATTTGAATAGCCTGCATACGCATATCATTCTAGATTTCATTTGATGATTTGTGATGAACTCATATTTCAATACTGATAAGAAAAATTTCAGTAAAAAATTACATTAAATGTTACACTAAGTATCGAAACAGGTTTACAATTCCTTCGTTGTATCCTACCCACAGTTTAGACTTGTATAGAGACAGTGAATATGGATGGTTCACTTCCTCGTCTGTCAGTAAGAACTTCAGGAACTCCCCGTCAGGACTCAGCAGATGGATCTGTTTGTTACGTAGATCAGTAACAAGGATGTTACAGAGGGAATCACACACTACATCAGTTGGATCAAAGTTCTCTGTCAGGTTCTGTCCACGATAAACACACTTCATCTGACCAGAGTGCGACATTATCTCTAGTTCACCTGTAGTGTTACTTGTACCATTCACAACACAGATATCACTGTTATTGTGCTGTGTGACACCGATTGGTAATTTAAACAGTCTGGTAATACCATCCTCCTGGTACTCATACTCATGGATGACATCACCCGTCACTGTGATGTGCCTCACCACACGTCTGCTGTGTGACTCTAATTTGTAATTATCTGATTCCTTGCCTTTCAACGTGACCAGAAGTCCACCATCCACTGACTGACAGATTCCTCTTGGTATCAGTGGATCTGTACTGATAACTGTAGAGACAGCGTCTATGGAATAGTTACTGTAATTAGTGACATAAATATTACTGTTTCCAATCGTACACAAGTCGTATAGATCAATAATAAATCCATTAATTATTTCACCTTTATCGTTAATTTCATCTATATAATCTGATAAAGTGTCTTTTATGTAACATTGGTCTTCACCAAATGCCTCCAAAAGAGAAATTGATGCATTCCCATATTCAAATGAATTTGTCTGAGTAACAGTTATATAATCTAAATTTAAAGTTTTTCCAACCAAAGATACGACGAAGTCATCATTAAATACACCTCTAGTGAACCTCACTGAATGTTCACAGTTTGTTGTATGGACCCTCAATTCAGACAGCATTTTCCTCAGTTCTCTGTGGTTGTTAATCAAGCTGTAATCTGAAATGGTGCTGATGTTCTCCTCCATGAATTCCACTGTATCAACAATTCCTTTTTTCTTCTTCTCTAGCTCAGATTTCACATGGATCAGCTGATCATTCTTTTCAATTAAGTTGTCTCTTATTGTTTGTTCATGGTGTTTTTTGATTTTTATCAACCTGGCCATTATCTCCTCCACATAATTTTGAAGCTTTTTAATCTCAGCGTCACACAATTCTTTATTTTCTGTCATCTGTTTTGGAATCTTCTTTACCTTCTCATTAATTCTGGGCAGATCTTCTTCCTTGATCTTTTTAAGAAATACAGGTAGACTTCTTCTTCTTTGGGTGGCTGCCGTGTGTATAGTGTTCCAATCATGTTCTCTATGATCTGTTTTGGCACACTTAGCACAAATGAATTCATCACAGTCCTCACATATCATATCAATAGGTAGTTCATGGGTTTCACACATTACTATGGGTGCTAGAGGTGAGCCAAGTGAATATTTTTCTGAGTTACTTTCAGCCATGTTTATCGGGTGTATCATAATTGAATGACCTAGTTTCAAGTGTGCATGTTAGGTAACGACGGATTTGAAAGTTGGGTTTTAAATTTATTCAATGTGCAATGAAATGTAAACATAAAGCTGTTTTATTTGAAAAGGGTATATTCTTTTGATTTGAAAAAAAATGATGAATCATAAGTTGATTACATGTATAATTATTTTTTCAGATACAAAAAAGTAAATATCCTTTAAGTCATAATATGTCATAATTCGAGATCCCTCTGACTCTAACCCCCGCTTCAGAATTGTGCTCAAAAGTCGCAATATTTTAGCAGGGGTTAGAGTCAGAGGAATCTCGGATTAAACATGTTACAATTTTATCAGCATGATGAAGTTTGATTACTCATATTACACCTCACTTGCCCTTATCTACCTTAATTTTTATTTGCCTCACCTCAAAATTGGTTTTAGATGCAAAAGTTTCTGCAAATAACAAGGCATGCAGTGGTACACTTGATTTAAACCTATCACACTGATTTTTTTTTTTGGTCGATATTTGTACAGGTTTTTGAAAAAGTTTTTTGATGAACAATATGTGAACCAGATTTTTACCCCAATTCCAAAGTTAAGATGGTGTACAACTGTATATATTAATTTACGAGCGTCATCTAATTAAATAATTAGTATATACAAACTGCGCAGCCAAGTCCGACGCTGCGCTAGATTTAGACGTCATGAATGAAAATCTCCATTTTCAGTAAATTATACAGTATGTGTTTTTAAATTCTTTTAGTGGTTTACAAGTTGTACACACCGTTGAAAAAAATGTTTTTACCTATCTGATATTCATACACAAAATACATTTCATTAATTTTCAGTTGCTTTCAGAAATAATTTGTCTCGAACATCGTTTCAACCATTAAAAACTTATTTTTGATCTGACGTTGTCCCGTGCGGACGGCCGATGTCGCATTTTTGTCGAGTTTATTCGCATATTTGTAAGGGTCTTTTTTTAGTATTTGTACTGTCTATATACTCACAGTAGTAAGCGATACTTAAGATATCATAATTATAGCTTATTTATTTTTGTTACATTAAAGTTTATTTATTTTTGACTTGTTTTATATAATTTAGTATTTAGGTCTAAAATTAATTATCACATGTTATTTTAATTAACTATTTATTTTACCAATTTTCGCAACACAATTATTTCATTGTTCTTCATTTTAAAATCCATCTGTTGCTATTTCTTTCTGCAACTGAGTTAAGAAGTTCACAAATTTTTGATGTTTTTGATATGTAAATATAAGTTGATTACCTTATCTGTGTGTATATGTAGTGTTCATGGACTAAATAATTCTTTTTTGTACATTTGACAAATTGTCTCTAATCATTTCAGCAGTTAGAGGAATTCTTGGCTTATAAATAATTACTGGGAACCTTTGTCAAGAGTTTGGCTTATTGTGTGTCCGCAGATCTCTTGCTCCTCATGGCAATACCTAGCGTCAAACTGGTACATCATTTTATTCAGTAAAACTTGTTTAAACCAGATATTCAGTTTATATATTTTTCTAAAATCCTTCGATCCAAATCAGTGAAATATTCTGGAGAGGGACGTTAAACAGAATACAATAAAATCCTTCGATTAAAATGTTGTTTATCTAATGTTGCTAATTTCTATGGAGCCAGTGCTGTCCACATTCGATAAGCTTTCTGTAATTTCATTTATTATCTCAAATATTCTTTATAAAAATCAAGTGTTATGAATCCATTAAGTGGCAACAACTGGAAGAATTTTTTTTAAATTATACATATTGTGACAATGCAGGTTTAAGATAAAGTTTTAAGTTTCTATCAACATGATCAATTTATGATAAATGATTCAGAGATCCATCACATAAAGAAGAAGGTGCAGTTTCAATACAAATAAAGCCCTATACTTTTCTAAAATATGAAAGTGATATAAGAAATTAAAATGTATTCTTTCTGAAGCATAGAAATTCTCTGCAGTAAGAATAAACAAATGTTTTTTTTTCTCATAAGACCTCCTAATTGCCAATTGTGACGTCATCGGCTTGTTCATTTTCCTGTATTTTTCTTTAAAAGTCGCAGACGACATCAATTTTCAGTGGAATTTTCTTTCAGAAAACATACTCTGCCACCGTCGCCCGGAAAGATTTTAAGATATGTGATTTTTCATAGCTGTTTGCTTAATATAACCAAAAATTAAAGAGGGCGACGATGGCAGACACTATTTTCTAAAAGAAAATTAACAGAATAACGAGTCATTTGAAGCTTTTCTGAATTAAAACTTTAAAAAATACCAAATTAATGACGTCATATTTTCAAGAAAGGCTCTTCCCAGCAGGCACACAACGTTGTTTAAACGATGAGTATTAGTTGAAGTTGGGTTTAGACGTTGATATTCTTCATGCCATATTCTTTAATGATTTATCATATTCATCTACTCAATTACTGTTACAGCTAATTTCATAACTTTTAAAGAACATTAAATTTTTAGGGCACAATAAAGCTTAAATCATACCGTCTTCTTACTTTATGTCATTCAACTAGTTGTTAATGTATTTGAAATTTTGGATCTGAAGCATTTTAAAATAAGATAATTTTTAGTGTTTTTGACATTTTACAGGGTAGAGCTAAGCAGTTATACAATGTGGGATTCCAGTCTATAAAACAGACAGATAAATTTAGATTAGCATTCGTAAACTATAGTTAACAACCGTTAAACATAGTTTCACAGATGCAAACTATAGTTAAGGAATTGTTAACTATTCGATAAACCTAGTTTATTATCTGTGAAACTATGTTTAGCTCATTTTTGTGAGTTTGGCATGCAATAAATATGATCATTTTTTTCAAATTCAAATAGCTTTTCGTTTACCCTTATATATTAATAGAGATTTTATGCATTTTTCTTTGGTTGATAGAAATGAAATAGGATTTTTTTTTCAAACCTAAATATAATTTATGGCTATGTTAAAGGAATAATAAAACAACCTATTTGTTTTCTTTTTTAGGTTTTGCTGAGTGAGAAAGCTGAAAGTTAGTTGAATGTGACGTCTTAGTTAAAAAGACAGTAGTACTTAGGTTGTTCAATTTTTTATTTAAATTCTGATTATGAATATTGCTTTTTTCACATGAAATATAACTTGTACTTCATAGAACTTGTATGTATAGCATACAAAGTGAATGTGCAATATCTCCTAATGAAAGAGGAATGTTTATAGGAATATTAACTAGCTTACTGGTACAGTGTATTGAAACTTCTTCCAGGTGTGTGATATTGTGCTTTAATTCTTGTCTAAAGACTGTGTTACATTGCTTTCAAGAGTTAGTCTGTATCATTTCATGTTGACATGATAGTTGTTTATCATGAGTACAGTTTCTGTGATATAAACTTTTGTTCAATTGAAAATAAACACGTTTATGTCATGGTCCCATTTGACTGGTCTCAGCCAGCTAATTATTGACTTTTCCGTCCACCAAAATGGTGTTAAATTTTTCATTTGTAGAAATTAGTTATTCCAGTGCTCTTATGCATCTATTAAACGAAGCCCCATATTTGAATACCTGGTATATGTTTGCCAATAGTAATGTGACATGTCCATACTTAAAGGTACTTGAAGGAAGAGGAAAATCTGGTGGTATTGTGTTTTATTTAAAAAAAATCTTGTGTTATCCATGATTTATGATTTAAATAAAAAGTGAATTTGAAAATTGCAGTAAACTTTTGGTTACAGTCTTCATTTATTCCACCATATTTAATGCCTATACTATGCAGTGTGGATGACGATTCTGTTGTTACTGTATCTGAATATCCAATTTACCATACATGTTTCCAAATTACAATACCATTTTGAAAGAACAATAAAAAGTTTTTAAATCAGTTCAACATTGAACTAGTATATATTTTTTAAAACCATGCAGCTTGTTTGATTTAGACCTACTGAAATAATTAAAGAAGCTCACTTCAACAAAGTTGGAGGAGCCTTTGTAATACCGTCAGCGTCCCAGGTTAGGTTTTTGGTACAGTATTCTTTCTTCGGGCACGAAGCAAGGGGGGGGGGGGCAATCATCCCTTTTTACTGCATGTACTTGAAATCTTGATTGAAGGCTAGGTGGTTGGCCTTCCCATTTATAGTTACAGTAAGATGAAATAAGGATAATCAAGTTTTGTATGTTGAAAATTTGGTACTGAAAGAAGAATTAGTTATTTCAGCAAAGGAATGACCAAGTTAACATATTTGGGGTAGGTTTCATTTCTAAGTTAAACTATACGTCGGTGTCTGACACATTTGTATTGCTTTGTAGATAAGCATGTTGAGTCCTCATAGTATTATTTTGTAGATAAGTATGCTTAGTCCTGCTCAGTTGAAAGGTGTACCTAAATCTTACATAGCAAAGAAAGCCCCGGGCCAACACACCAGACAGGTCTATACAGCTTCTCTGTGTGAAATCATAACTTCAATTTCAAGTGTTGAAGTAAATTTACAGTAATAGATTTGAAGTAAGACAGCTCATTACTCTTTGTCTTATCATTGGGTATAATAAATTTGTTTTTGAAAGAAAGATATGTATACACTTTATGTACATTTAATTTTTGCAAGGACAATATTTATTCCATTTTAAAGGTAGGTGAGAGATAAATTCTATATTTTAATGAACATGAAGATAACTGGCTTGTTAAATTTATAGGTTGTTGATGAGTTAGTTGTCAAACGATTCTACCTGACTCTGATGCTGTATGATCTCTGGAAGCAGAAGACACTTTGGGAAGTGGCAGAAAAATTTGAATATCCTCGGGGCTTTGTCCAGAACCTCCTGTCAGGGGCGGCTAGTTTTGCGACCTGTGTCTATCACTTCTGCCAGGTACATGTATATTACCACATTATATTTCTCTGAAATTAAGGTGATCATGTGCTTTTCTTATCAATGTTTCTCCTGAAGAACCATCTTCATGGAAGTTATGCGAAAGCATCTTTTTGTGATGAAGATTTGTTAGCATTTAGCTTTTTTAAGTTATGGAGAGGGGGGGCCTGGATGGTTTGTGGCAACGCACTTTAAAAAAATTACGCACTTTGAAAATTTTTTCAAAGTTTGTAAAATTTTGACAAAATCAACGCACTTTGAAAAAAAAAATTAAATTTTTTTCAAAGTGCGTTAAATTTGGGACCAACTCAACGCACTCTTAAAAATATTTCAATGTGCGTTAAGAGTCTACATCAATATATTTTACCATGGAGACACTTAACACACTTTGAAAAAAAATCATATTTTAGTAATGGAAAGATTTTATTTGTTATTTATCTTTCAAAAAACTTAGCCTAACCTTAACCTCAAAAAAATGAATTGATTTACTCCTGTCGAAAAGAAGAGAAGACGGGTATAAGATCCCCGAGACCCTCAGTCCAAATCTTTATCTTTCCAATACATAGGTGTCGGTAACAAATGGGGGAGGGGAGCAATAAACCTAAAAAAGGTACGCTGCATTTTCAATGCTTATATGATGTATATGTCTTTCCAAAATAAGGGGTCTATAAAATAAATGGTCTATATTAACGCACTTTGAAAAAAAAAATATTTTTTTCAAAGTGCGTTAGCTTGGTCCCAAATTTTAACGCACTTTGAAAATTTTTTTCAAAGTGCGTAATTTTTTCATAAGTGCGTTGTAACAATTGTTATATGTAAATTGTAGAAATGGGGTCATGAGAAATATTTCTGCAATTCTTGTTGTGTTTTTATACAAAATAAATATAATTTTTAGACCCAAATACCGTACAAGAGTCTTAGAAATACTAGAATTTGGGTAAAAACTTTGTGCTTTGTTAATAAAAAAAACTGTTTAACAACATGTACAAAATTTCAACGGATAATTAATATATTTAAATCAGTCCAAAACTGTGGAAGTAGCATTTTTAAAGTATTAGAGGCCCCTGGACTGCATTGCTCACATGAGCATATTGCTTGATAAAATGTTTATTTTGTATTAATAAAGATTTTTTCAAATCAACATACATGTGCACCATTGCAAATTGTTAAAATTTGTAATATATTTAGCCTAACAAAAAACTTTGGTATGTTTTATTACAATTTGCTATGCCCCACCATGAATATGGCCAGAGAATATAGTGTTTGTCATGTCCATCTTCTGTCCTTCCATCACACTTTACATTTAGCTCTGTTCAAAACCAAGTTTCAAAAAAATGTTCACGATATTTTTATCAACTCTATGAGCTGATAGATATTAATGAAAGCTATACAACTGCATCAATTATTTTTGACCTTGAATTTCCTTTGACCTTGACCTCATTTTCTCAATTTAATGTTTAGCTCAGTTTTGAAGATACTTTTCAAGATAGTGTGATATAACTTCATATGTTGATACATACTGATGTAACTAAGCTATTCAAATGCTTCAACATTTTTTTACCTTGACCTTTCTTTTGACCTTTACGCACTTTAGTGTTTAACTCAGTTTTAAAGATACATGTACCATTCAAGATAGTATAACCAAACTTCGTATGTTGATACATACTGATGTAATCTATTCAAATTCATCAACATCTTTTGACCTTGAACTTTCTTTTGACCTCAACTTTCATGAATTATTTTTTAACTCGGTTTTAGATATAGGATCTCCCATGATTAGAAGTTGGATATGATTTTTATCCAACGAGTTATGTGATTTTTATCCATAAGCCTCGGGATAAAAACACAATACAAGTTGTGGGATTATGAGAGATTCTTTTTATCCCATGTTTATTACTTCACAACTGATGTTTTAAACTATTTTTATTTAGGACTCCACTTCATTTTACTTCATCATGCTAACGCAAAAACCATTGTGACATCATAACTGTACTTATATGTGGGATACGAAAATGATACCACATAAGCTATATCTACGGGATAAATGGGTAAACATGGGATAAATATTTTTATCACACATCATATGTTGATACATGCTGATGTAAGCTTTTCAACTGTATCAAGTTTTTTTCTGATCACATTTTGTCTGTAATCCGCCTGTCTGTCCGTCTGTCTGTCTGTAAACTTTGAACATTTTCGACTTCTTCTCCAGAAGAAAATTTGGTGGTATGTTTGAAAAATCTTCTACCCAAGAACCACTGGGCCAGTAAAGATGAAACTCATGTAGAATCATCCTAAGGTAGTGTTGATTCAATTTTTTTTCAAATCATAACCCCAGGGTTATGGTGGGGCCAAAATGTCCGATCATCTCTTCTCAAGAACCACTGGGCCAAGAAAGATGAAACTCATCTGGAAAGTAGTGTAATTTCAAGTTTGTTCAAATCATTAACCCCGGGGGTAGGGTGGGGCCACAATAGCCGATCAAATATTCACATATGCGTATATAAAGAATTAAAAAAAAAAATTAAAAATCTTCTTCTCAAGAACCATTGGGCCAGGAAAGATGAAACTCTTCATGTTTCATCATGTAATGAAGATTCAAGTTTGTTCAAATCATGACACCCAGGGGTAGGGTGGGGCAACAATTGCTGATCAAACTTTTACATAGGAATATATAGGAAAAATCTTTAAAAATCTGCTTCTCAAGAACTACTCGGCCAGGAAAGATGAAATTCGTGTGAAATCATCCTCATGTAGTATAAATTCGAGTTTGTTCAAATTAATACCCCTGGAGGTAGGGTGGGGCCACAATGGCCAATCAAAGTTTTACATAGGACTAGATAGGGAAATCTTTTAAAATCCTCTTCTCAAGTACTCGTGATTAGTGATATTTATATGGAATCATCCTTATGTAGTGTAGATTCTAGTTTGTTCAAATCATAACCCCCAGGGATAGGGTGGGGCAACAATGGGGGATCCAAGTTTTACATTAAAATATATTTTTAGAAATATTATTCTCAAGAATAGCAAAGCCATGATTAGTGATAATTGTATTTATATGGAAGCATTTTCAGGTAGTGTAAAATTAAATTTGTTCAAATCATAACCCCCAAGGGTAGGATGGGGCCACAATGGTGGATCAAAGTTTTACACAGAAAAATAATGGGAAAAATCTCAAGAGTAGAAAAGCTATGTTAAGTCATATTGACATGTAAGCATCATCATGTAGTGAAGATTTAAATGTATTCAAATCATGGCCCTTTGGGGTAGAGAGGGAAACAATGGGGAATCAAATTCATACTATTATGAAGTTATATATATAGGAAGAAAATGATTTAAAAAAAAATCTTTTTATCAAGAACATCAAAGTCATATGCTGTATTAAAAAATATGAAGGCATTTCAAGTAGTATTAAAATTCAAGCCCCACTCCCCCTTCAGTTATGATCTGATTTGTGCTTTTGCTTAGCCAATTTGCTCAGGTGAACGATGTGCCCCCTGGGCCTCTTGTAGTGTTAAGCTCATTTAAAAGACGCCATTCAGGATATTTTTATTAACGACGTTCGATCCTGATATTTAAAGTCTTAAACTTTTTTGCCAAGAATATTTTTAGTTTCTACATACATAGCTTAATTAAAATTCAAATAAAAAATAGAGGTCAATATGCTTCTTTTAGCGCTACAGTACATTTAATATGCCTTTTCTGCACTGAAATTTGTGTCTTAATTAAAAATTACATCTTCTACGTTTTCCCTCCAATATTTTTATCCAATTAAAGCATGAAACAAAATGAACTCTGAACTTTGAACTCTGAAATCTGTTTAATAAAAGACACTTAAAAACTGTAACTAAGAAAAAGTTTCAAATTGCTTCGCATAATTAATTATTTGACCTTTCTGCACTAATAAAATGTTTTTTTAGGGCATTGGAAATATAATAAGCAAGAAAATTATTTTAAAGTCTTAAACTTTTTCTGATTTTAAGCAAATAGGTCAAAGTTATCTTGAATATTTAGACAAGAACATCAAAAGTGGGGGTATATGATGTACATTTTCAGATATTACTAAAAAAAAGTGTGATTTTTACTTTAAAATTGGCTAAATTTCCCCCCGGATTTTCAAAAATATTAAATATATTTGTCAACCTTTGTTGATAGAATTCATAAAAAAATAATTTAATAGATATTTCAGAACCAGCATAAGATATTTCACTGCAAAAAACAGCTTTGTGTGCAACCAGCATGGAAAAATAGGCATCCAAAATTAACAGTACTGTTATAGTTCAAATAGAAAAAAAACTGATCATTTTCGTCTAAAAAACCTTCCGCTACAAAATATAGTCCCTAGCTTAATTTCTACTTGAATGGAATTTAATCGCGGTTTTTTCATTGAATATAGTTTTATTTGCATTGTAGAATTCAGTTTTATTTTTAGAACCTAAAAATGATGCTTAATTTTATGAATAGAGGACCTGCGCGAAATACGCACAAAATATCAGGATCGAACGTCCTTAAACATAATATGCTGATATATGTAGCTCTTTATGTGTTTACACTACACTGATGTTTGTGTATCATGCAGTGGGATCTCTTCAACTCCTTTTGCTTTGAATATGTATTTTGCTCAGTTTTGATGAAAACCTTTTCAGGAAGGATATGGAAATAACGAACAGTATTCAATCTCAACGTCCATTAAACAAATATACAAAACAAGAGCAGAGCAAACACGGACCTCCGAAACATCAGAGGTGGGATCAGGTGCCATGGAGGAGTGAGCATCCCCTGCCGACCGGTCACACCCGCCGTGTGCTCGTTGTCATAATCAGGAAATAACGGACAAAATCCGTGGTGTATTCAGTGTATAAATAATGGACTAACAATTGGTATGAAAAACGTCAGTCAGCATTTCATTCAATGATAAATTGTATTTGCTGACAAGGTCATTGTATCGACCATAGAATTTACGAAATGATGACTTTAAACGTGACTGTTGATATTCTTGTTTTTTATCAACTTGCTTGTCAATAATTTACCTCGATTAAGAAATTGTTCATACGTAAGGCATGCTCTTGAGTATCGAATCAACTGAGATATAAATACTCCGTATGCAGATGATGAAGGTATATTGCTGCATAAGTAAGGGAAGTTGATGATAGAAAAGTTAAAGTCATCACGTTTATCATATAGCTTGGTTGTTAGATTACCAATAGTGTCTTTTTCAAGTAAAATATCCAAGTATGAAGCAGGAGTGTCGGACTCTGTGGTATCTTTTATCTCAAGCTCACCAGGATATATCGTGTCGACGTAGGAATGGAAATTATCATTATTAATTGACAATACGTCGTCGATATATCTAAATGTCGAGTTGAAGGCCACAGCAAGTGTTTTCTTCTTTTCACGCAAAAGATTTTGCATAAATTCTGCTTCATATGAATATAAAAATAAGTCTGCTAATAACGGAGCGCAATTTGTACCCAATAGATTGTTGGAATACCTGGTCTCCAAAAACCACATAGATATTGTCAATCAGAAACTCAAGCATCTTCTTGATGTCAACTTCAGAGTACTTATGTGTGCAATCAGAATCTGTTTTAACAAAATAATTTTTCAAATGACCAATGACGAGGTAAGTAAACTTACGAGTTCCATTTTTGTTGAAGAAGCAGCTGTCAATGATATCAAAAAGCTTGGATTTTAATTTGTCGTGGGGAATTGTTGTGTATAAAGATGGTGTTATCAAACTTCACATGTTGATACAAACTTGTACGGATGATGCATCTAGGGATGAACACAACCAGACTTGCCTCGGATGCTGGATCTGACGTACATTTTACAGATGAGTGACCAGGTTAATGTTTTTGGAGCAGGTCCATTCCCAAGGAACTATAAGCCCTACTTGGACCAAACTTGCATGGATGATGCATCTTAAGATGGACACTACCAGAATTGCTTCAGATACTGGTCTGACCTACATTTTCCAGATGAGTGATCAGGTTAAAGTTTATGGAGCAAGTCCATTTCCAAGGAACTATAAGCCCTACCCAAACCATACTTTCACGAATAATGCATCTAGGGATTAACACTACCAGACTTGCCTCGGATGCTGGATCTGACGTACATTTTTGGAGCAGGTCCATTACTAAGGAACTATAAGCCCTACTTGGACCAAACTTGCATGAATTATGCATCTAGGTATGGACATTACCAGACTTGCTTCAGGTGCTGGGTCTGACCTATATTTTCATTCCAAAGTAACTATAGGCCGTACTTGAACCAAACGTATATTGATTTTGCCTCTAGGGATGGACACTACCAGACTTGCTTCAGATGCTGGATCTGACCTATATTTTCATTCCCAAGTAACTATAAGCTCTACCTGAACCAAACTTGCATGGATAATGCATCTAGGGAAGGACACTACCAGACTTGCTACGATCTTGCTACGATGCTGGATCTGACCTATATTTTCATTCCCAAGTAACTATAAGCCCTACCTGGATCAAACTTGCATCGATGATGTATCTAGGGATGGACAATACCAGACTTGCTTCGGATGCTGGAACTGACCTATATTTTCGTTCCCAAGTAACTATAAGCCCTTGCTAAACCAAACTTGCATTGATGATGCATCTAGGAATGGACACTACCAGAAATGCTTCGGATGCTGGATCTGACTTACATTTTCATTCCCAAGTAACTATAAGCCCTACCTGAACCAAACAGATCAAATTTTATACACATACAAATTTTCATGTTGCTTTACTAATATATCCTTGGCGGGGCATTCATGTCCTATGGACATATTTCTAGTTATTTAAGCATTCACTAATACATTTTGTTGACAATTTTTCATCTATATTTTCCTTTAGATTTCAATTTCATTTAAAGAAACTGTTCAAAATATTTTCATCAATCTTCATACACTTCTACAAAATTTCATGTTACATTACTACATGTAATTTACACTTTGACGGGCATTCATGTCCTATGGACACATTTCTAATTTATGATGTTTTGTTCACATTAACCAAGCTCAGTTAGTCATGCTTCAGGTAAGATTTCCAGTTTCGCAAGAAAGAGAGAAAAATGGCGGTTTCCAGTAAAATTTCAAATAGGGTACAAATTTTCATTTTCCATGAATTTTGGATTACTGCTGTAAGACTAAATCGGGTAAAAAAATATTTGACATTTTGCATACAAACAGTACATATCACAAGTTATAATCATTTCTGATTTTATGAAAAGTCTTTATACATAATTTATATCATTCTACATTTAATTGATGATTTGTGATGAAATAGTTCAAATCTGATATGAATGATTTCAGTAACAAATTTACAATTGATCTATATTAAATGATACACTGAGTATCTAAACACTTTTACAAGTCCTTTATCGTATCCCACCCACAGTGTAGACTTGTACAGAGATAATCTGGTTGGACAGTTCTCTTCGTTCTCTGAGAGCAAGAACTTTAGGAACTCCCCGTCAGGACTCAGTAGGTGGATATTATTGCTAGCTCGGTCAGTAACAAGGATGTTACAAAGGGAATCACACACTACATCAGATGGATCAAAGTTCCCTGTCAGGTTCTGTCCACGATAGACAGACTTAATACGACCAGAGGAAGACAGAATCACTAGTTCACCTGTAGTGTCACTTGTACGGTTCACAACACAGATATCACTGTTACTGTTCTGTGTGACCCTGACTGGTATTGTAAACAGTCTGGTCTGACCATCCTCCTGGTACTCATAATCACTGATGACGTCACCTGTCACTGTGGTGTATCTCACCAGACGTCTGCTGTGTGACTCTAATTTGTAACGATCTGATTCCTTGTCTCTCATGGTGACCAGAAGTCCACCGTCCACTGACTGACAGATTCCTATTGGTACCAATGGATCTGTGCTGATGACTGTAGAGACAGATCCTGATGATGACAGACAACTGATAACTTTGTCACTATAATCAGTGAAATAAACATCACTGTTTCCAGTCTTACATATGTCATATAGATAAATACTAAATCTTTGTATTATTGCACCGTTATTGTCAACTTTTTCTGTATAACCTGATAAAGTGTTTCTTATGCAACATTGGTCTTCGCTGAATGCCTCCAAAACAGATATTGATTTATCGCTATATTGGAACGAATTTGTCTGAGTAACAGTAATATTATCTAAATTTAAAGTTTTTCCAACCAAAGAGTCGACTAAGTCATTAATTTCACCTCTAATGAACCTCACTGAATGTTCACATTTTGTCACATGAACTTCCATTTCAGACAGCATTTTTGTCAGTTCTCTGTGGTTATCAATCAAGCTGTAATCTGACATGGTGCTGTTGTTCTCCTCCATGAACTTAACTATGTCAATAATTCCTCTTTTCATCTTCTCTAACTCAGTTTTCACCTGCTGTAATTCATCATTCTTTTGAACTAAGTTGTCTCTTATTGTTTGTTCATGACATTTTTTGATTTCTATCAACCTGGCTATTATATCATCAACATGCTTCTGAAGTTTTTTAATCTCAGCATCACACAGGTCTTTATTTTCTGTCATCTGTTGTGAAATCCTCTCTATGTTCTCATAAATCCCAAGCAGATCCTCTTCCTTGATCTTTTTAAAAAAAATTAGGTAGACCTCTTCTCATTTTGATGGTTGCCGTGGATATAGTGTTCCAGTCATGATCTCTATGATCTGTTTTAGCACACTTAGCACAAATAAATTCATCACAGTCCTCACATACCATATCAATAGGTAATTCATGGGTTTCACACATAACTATGGGTGCCAGAGGAGAACCAAGGGAAGATTTTTCTGAGTTACTGTCAGCCATGTTTGTCGGGTGTAGCTAACCTGAATGACCTCATTTTTAATGTGCATATTATATAAATAACAAAATTTTTTTAAGTTGGGTTTTAAATTTATTCAATGTGACTCTTTTGAAATGTAAGCGTAAAGGGGTTTATCTGAAGTGAGAAAATCATTTGGATTAGAAAAAACGATGAATTAAAAGGTGATTACATGAATAATTATTTTTTTAGATACAAAAAGGTAATTAATAAATTAAATGACAGAAGTATTTTCAGACATAATATGTTACAATTCTATCATCAGTATGAAATTTGGTGAGTCATATTACCCTCCACTTGCCCTTAGCTTAAGTAACCTTCATTTTTTATTTCTCTCACCTAAAAATTGTTTAAGCTGCAAATGTTTCTTGAAATGAGTAATTGCAGTTTTAACAATGTATGCAGTAGTACTCTTGATTTGAACCTATCACGTTGATTGTTTTGTCAATAATTTGTAGAGGTTTTAGAAAAGTGTTTTGATCAACAATATATGAATAATATTTTTACCCAAATCCAATATTTTTTTTTAATCTTGTACAGAATTTGGGTCTAAACACTATCACATGTATGTATGATTTTAAAAATATTGAACCATCTTTTCATGGCAACAGCATTTATTTATGATTCTTCAGTTTATAATCCTTCTGTTGCTATTACTTTCTGCATCTGGGTAAAGAAGGTTACAAAATTCATTCTGATATTTGTAGATATGTAAGTACTGTAAATCTGGAAATTTTTACGTCGATTTTATTTTACAAATTATGGTCAAAATGCTTATGATTAATTTTTACGTCTCAAAATTTTGCGAATGACCACTGCTTAGTTGAAGTTTTCTTATTTGTAATTTATTTTTTTAAAACATATTTTTGCGAATGCATTGAACTTCGCAAATTCGTTAAAAATTTATATACAGCAAAAATTTACGACATATGCTGATTACCTTAATTGTGTATATATGTAGTGTACATGTAGTATATAATACTGATTTAGTACATTTGACAAATTGTCTCTAATCATTTCAGGAGTTAGAAGAATTCTGGGCCTATCAAGAATTACTGGGAACCTTTGTCAAGCGCCTGGCTTATTGTGTGTCCGCAGAACTCCTGCCTCTCATGGAAATACCCGGCGTCAAACTGGTACTTTATTTTATACAGTAAAACTTGTTTAAAATTTTGATTTTTTATAGAGAATTGATATTAAAAGACTTTGAGTAAACATCATAATAGACAAGATCTAAAAATACAAATATCTGTATTTTTAGATCTTGTCTATTATAATGTTTACTCAAAGTCTTTTAATATCAATTCTCTATAAAAAATCAAAATTTTAAATAGGGTGGTGGACATGACATGTCTCCGATTTAGCTGAAATTTACACCATTTCCTACAATTAAAAGTAAAATCCTTCGATTAAAATGTAGTTTATCTTATGTTGGTAATTTCTATGGAGCCAGTGCTGTCTGCATTAGACAAGCTTTCTGTAATTTCATTTATCATTACAAATATTCTTTATGAAGATCAAGTGCTATGAATCCTTTAAGTGGCAACATCTAGAAGAAATTTTTTTAAGAGATTGATAAAAAATTGTACATATTGATGACATTGCAGTTGAAATATATTTTATAAAATGTACATTTTGATGACATTGCAGGTGTAAAATATATTTTTTTAAATTTCTATAATTGATGATATTAAAACATTATTATGTATCACAGTTCCATTGCATTAATTTACTTTATGTCATTGAACTAGTTGTTTAATCTATTTGAATGTTTTGGTCTAAAGCATTTCACAATAAGATATTCTTTACAAAGTGTTTTCGAAATTGCACAGGGTAGAGCTAAGCAGTTATACAATGCCGGATTCCAGTCTGTGGCGTTAGTGGCGGCTGCTGGTCCAGAGATCCTTGTTAAATCGATACAACAGATCCCTCGTAAAGTGGCAAAATAGATCGTCGCTTCTGCTGAAGTAAGATTTCTTGTGTGGCTAAATTTTAATTATTAATATTTTATTTGTACAGAAAAGTTTTTGTCTTAAAAAGTCATAAAATATAAGCTTAAATTCATGGCTACTCTGTATATTTACAAAAAATATGAGTTATTAATTTGATTACATCTTTAATGTTTTTCTGATTATGTACATGTATTTCTTAGCCATTTTACCCTGGTATATTGATAGAGATTTCATGCACTTTCTTTCGTTGATAGAAATGAAATATGATTTTTTTTTCAAATCTAAATATAATTTATGTCTATGTTAAGGTTATCCGATCCTCAGGTTCTAAAAATCAAGCATTGAGTAATTGAAAATGCTCACATAGATGTTTCTAAATTCTCAAATTAAAATGCATTTACCCACGGTCTTTCTTTGAAATTCATCTGTAAATTAAATAGTAAAATATAGTAAATCTCATATAATTTTTCAGGAAATGCGATTTGAACTACCTACTGCATATTTTTTAATTGATAATTGATCAAGAAATACATTTTAGGAATAAAAATCATAGGTATCCAGGCTTTTGAAGAAAATTGCAAGAATTTTATACTTATTTGGACTTTACTTTCTCCTACTTACTTCAATTGTTTCAAAATGCATAGTGTATGAAGTGTTTCCTTTCAAAGAAAACACTGTAAATCACTTCTAATTTCAAATCATGCATATAAACATATGTTAACTAAGACTTAATTTAAAGAAATTTGATTTTTTTTAAATATGCAAGTTTTACTTCATTTTATGAGGTACAAATGTCAACTTTTTAAATACCGATTGTTAAAACTTTTAAGAACATGAATCATACGTAGAGACATAAAAAGAAAATTGTTGCATGAAAAAATTTCAATTTCAAGCTTTATTTTAAGACTTATTGAATTAAATTATAAATTTAAGATTTATCATTCCTGGCTGAGGATTGTATATCCTTAAAGGTTTCATTAAACAACCTCTTGTTTACATTTTGGAGGTGTTACTGAATGAAAAAGCTGAGGCCTTACTACAGGAAGTAGAGGAACTGGTGACGGTTCCGGTGTAAAGACGAATAATGACCCCCATCGAAAAATGACCAGGGGGTCATTTTTCAACGACAAAAAATGACCCCCACCCGTAGAAAAAAATCATTTTTTGTAGAAAAAGGGTCCTAGGGGGTCATTATTTTATATGTTAGTCCTATAAAATAATGACCCCCATTGAAAAATGACCCCCTTTAAAGTGATACAAAATATACACTCTTTGATGTCTTTTTCCACAGCGAAACTAAGTTTTACATACATTGTCTGTAACCAGAAAAATACAAAAAATCGTATGAAATAATTAAGAGATTCACGTAGTCTTTCAATGCTAAAATTGTGTATGAAAAGAGATTCTTTAATTGTCAAGTAAATAAAATTTCTTTTTAATATTCCTCCTTATAATGTTTGCTTAAAGAATGATATTCCACTTGCTTTTAGAAATCAAACCATGCAAAAATCAGGTTTAAATACTCTTTAATAGGAAAATTTTAGTTTGTTTAAGTTTGGCAAATTCTATTTGACAATGAAAGAGGAAGACATTTTTACCCCCCGCCCCAAAAAAAAAGAACATTACGTTAAATCAAAACAAAAAAATAATAATAAATGAAAAGAAGAAATATAAATGAAACTCTATACCTTTCAATAATTCTGAAAGAGGCTCTAGATAAAATATTGAAATGAAGTTAAGCCTTCACACAAGTACTATCATATCATAATTTACTTCGCCATGATTAAAGCATACTTTAAATGTTGGTGGAGGAATACTTGAAAGTATTGTGGCAAAGTGACAGTTAAAAATTAGTAGAATAGTAGATTATTTTTAGCTTATTTTTAATTCCTTTCTTATAGAAAAATAAAGGTAGGGTGGTTTTTTTGCTTTTGTTCAATATCGACTTCCTCCTAAATAAGAAAGGGGGTGAGGGTAAGTATAAGACCTAAAAATATGCTCTGTAAACTATGGGCTAGTGTAAAATACACAGTCATTCGAATGCAAAAACTATACATGTAGACATAAACTTTTGATTTAGCACACAGTATTCATTACATTTCTTTTAACGTAGAACCTACTTCGTATGACATCATAACTTGTAAATGTGTTAAACCTGTGCTAATTAACCCATTAATACGTCATAATTAATTCAATGCCACTTTTTCCGTACTTGACAGCTTCAATAAAAATGGTAGAAAATATTGCATTTTGAAATTCACAGAATTCAATCATGCCAACATAATCTTGATTCAATTCATATATTTTTTGGTTTATAATGCTTAATGGCAATATATTTCTGGAATAAGAGAAAATATGTAGGCATCTTTTATTTACTAGATCTAGACCCGACGTTGACAAACCCAAGACTATCTAGTGTAATGAAATTACAATGTACATACAACTTTCGTAATAATTTGAATGGTATGTAACCATTTTGAAGGAATGCATAAATCGTAAGAAATCTTTAGTTGCCAGCTATATAGTGTAATATCTTGATGAAATGTGTCTAAGTCAAAGATGTACGTGTTGTAGATCGTTTGTACATTTTTGTGATATCTATAATTAAATGATGTGCATTTCTTTTAACAATTATTTGTTACCTATTCATATTTTTGGTGTTTGATTACAATTTTTCTATTAAATATGATCTTTTTAAAGAAAAAGTACAATTTCTGATAAACATTTAATCTAAAAGTAACCCCAAACGGTCATTCAATTATTAAATCCCGGTAAGTGCAAAAAGGTCAAGAATATGAGTATAGGTAAACAGCCTATCTTTCATTAGTTAGAGGGGAAAGGTATATATTTTAATCAGTTTTTGTAATCATTTGGCTATGTTCTTCATCATATTGAAGATTGAAAACATTGTGACAAAGACGTCTAAAAAATATTTACAAATATAGGGTGAATACTGTAAACCAACTATTATTCGCGACGACTATATTTCGCGATTAACCTGGAATAAACTAGTTCGCGACGATTAATTTTCGCGATCAAGCTTATTATGATATGTTGTTAATAGACAGAGAGACTTAAAGGACTGATTCGCGGCGAGAAATATTCGCGATAACGAGGCTCTCGCGAACTTCGCGAAATTTTCTCGCACGCGAATAAAAGTTGGTTTACAGTAATTGACTAAAAATAATGAGTTCATTTGACTAGATTTTTTAATGGTGGACTTATCTTTTATGTTAATTGAATAAAAAAGAAATTATTCTTGATAAAATATTGTTTAATATTATTCAGTTTAAAAAGTTTATAAACGACGATGTTTGAAGAAGTATTTTTGTGATTTTTCATATTCCCTTTATGACAAGTACCCCTAAAAATATTTGAAAATGTGAAGTCGCAGTATGTAAATACCCTACCAAGTTTCACAGCCTGTTCTAGATTAAATAACAAGGAAACATATGATATCTTAACTGATTCATAAGCAAGTACTAATTTATCATTTTGAAAAGTTTGAAAATCTTGTGACTAAGACTTTTCCGACATAGGTTCTACCTTAATTCTTGTTTTACTCCACCCTTTTACTCAGTTCTGAGTATATTTTTCAGAGAATTTAATATGAAAATCAGAACAAACATTTTCATTGTTGTAACGTCTTCTTTATAATGTATATTAATATGAAAAGTTATTTGAAGACCATTTCTTTTTATGTCCCTGTAGTCGAAGATTCGGGGGTATATAGTTTTATCGTGTTCGTCTGTATGTCCGTCTGTCTATCTGGCGGTTTATTTGTCCGCAAAAACCTTAACCTTTACCATAACTTTTCATTTATTGGAGCTATGACTTTCATACTTAATATGAATATTCCTTGTGACAAGACCTTACTTTGGGTACCACCAAATTTGACCTTTTGACCTTTACCTTGGAGTTTATCCCATTTTACACAAAAATGCCAAATTTTTACTTTGGCCACAACTTTAAAACGGTAGATACTAGTACTCTAATACTTCAAATATGTAGTTTTTTGGCATTACCTTTCATTGGATACTAAAAACCTTGACCTTTTGACCTTGACCTTGGAGTTTTCCGTACTTATGATTTTTTTTTACCTTGGCCATAACTTTTGAACGGTAAGGGCTAGGGTATTCATACTTCACATATGTAATCCTTGTTACATTAAACATTTTCTTAAGAAATCATCAACTTTGACCTTTGAGTTTGACCTACCTTTCAAAAACTTATCCTTAGCCATTACTTTTGAACAAGTGGTGCTAGGGCTTTCCTATTTTGCAGTTGTATTTCATGTGAGAAGACCCTACTTTGGGTAACAATATATTTAGTTTCCATTTCAGAAAAACTTAATCTTCACTATGTTGCCATACAGGGGCATAGCTGTTTCACAAACACATCTTTTTATATATGAGGATTTGCGGATAAGAGATGGATACATCAAAGCGTAACAGACGGACGGACGGACATCCCAATCACTATATACCCTCCCGCTTTTCAAGCGGAGGATATAATAATATATGATACTGCTGATTTTTTCTGTCAGTTCGATGATTTCCACCATCAAAAACAATGTTTACCTAACCCTTAGGCTTGATAAATCTTTTACTCCTTTAGATTCTGAATCATTGCATTTACCTTAAAATATAGCTATAATTGTATAATGTTATGAGATCAACATATCATCAGTTTATTCCCAATAAGCTCAGGTTAGCATTTTGGCCAATATGCTTCTTTATCCAATTTTTTTGCCCCCTAAAAATCCCAAACAGAAAAAACAGCCTATCGGATCATGCTAACAACTCATGTGTAAATCATGGTTTTGATATGATTTCGGTATAGGAAAATTTCACATGCAAATGAGCTAATGGATCATGGTTCTGAGATGATCTGTTAAACTAAACAACTAGCAAGAAAACCACGATCCTGGTATGATCTGTTGTAGAGCTAACAACTCGTATTAAAACCATGATCCTGGAATGATCTGTTGTAGCTAACAACTCGTATTAAAACCATGATCCTGGTATGATCTGTTTTAGCTCACAACTCATATTAAAACCATGATCCTGGTATGATCTGTTGTAGCTAACAACTCGTATTAAAACCACGATCCTGGTATGATCTGTTGTAGCTAACAACTCGTATCAAAATCATGATCCTGGTATGATCTGTTAAATTGAACAACTCATAGGAAAATTCTACTTCTTATACAATTTTACTAAACACTTTGATATTTGCAATAGAGTTCTCTTTAATATTTGATAAATAATTTAAGTTACCAAAAATTAACAAAAATATTATGCACATATGTCACATGAACCATGACGTCATATAAATATAATCCCAACAAATGATCTTCCTTAATAAAATGACGATTTGCATATAAAACATTATCCAAACTATTCACTGAATTTTGTAAGAACAAAATCACTGAAATCCATTCTTCTTAAAGAATAATCCGGAACTCATTGATATCACTGCTTATTTATGATTCTGCAAAACCATATAATTACAACATTTGTTCACTACAGAATCAGCACAGTGGTGGATCTATTATTCAGAATCACAAACACTGAAAGGGCTCCAAATGAAGTTGTCTATCCTCTGATATAATCTCTTTATATGTGTATATAAGCACCCTGAAAAGAAACGTAGAGAAAGTGGTATTTATTTATCGATCAACATATAATTATCTTTAGATCATGAATATAAAATATTCAAGTACTTTTCCCATTGCATTAGTGAAAAGAATTGGATTAATCACCAAAAGAATAATATTGTTGAAATGTAATATTATTTACGTACACAAATGTTGTCTTCACCGAAGGCGGGTCTTTTGAATTTGGTAATTTGAATGCAACTCAGATGTTAATCATGAAGATGGAAATGTCGGTAGCTACAAAAGAATTTCATTTTTATAAATAATCATTTTATATAACGATTAACATGTACATGTACAGCAAATATTTGAATCAAGGAGGTCAATTTGATGCTTAAATTAAGTTTTTCAATTCAAATCCATGTAAAGCTTTGCTATGTCTCTTCTACACATTTACAAAGAAAAAATAAATCATGCACTTGCTGGTAGAAATTAGAAATTAAAAAAAAAGGTCAATAATAAAATTAATGAATTATATTCACCGAGTATAGAGTTAATAAATAAGTCCAGCACTTATTTTTATTGCTTATATGATGCAAAGGCTTTTCTTTTAAATCGGCAACAAGAAAACGCGCACATCTTGTTTATCAGAATTCAAATTCTGACCTAGATCAGCTGCAAACCACTGTACTACAGCGTGCTGCCCAGCAGGAGAATTGCATAACAAGGTTACTATGACTCTGAAACTGACCAGTGATCCAATCCTAATCTTATGCCTCAAAGTAAGATTGGGAGTGGATTGCAAATATTACATGAAGGTTAAAAGTTTTGATAAAATCCTGGCTGCGTTATTTAAACAAAAAACATGTGTGCTAATTTAAATATGATAATTGTATATGTTTGTCATTTCATTCACTTTCAAAAAAATTACTGTCTTTGTAACTATACCTGTACATGTTGTGTGCATTTTAATAATTAAAACCTAATTTTCCTGTTCTCTTTTAAATAAGACTTTTATTGATGTATGCATGTTGTTTGATTCTCCAAGTTAGAGTGAATTTATAGCTTGCATTTTCACCTATCATAGATGACAAAGTTAACAAACCATATCAGGATCATACAACCAATTCTGACAAAGTCAACAAATCATATAAAACTCATGATTCTCAACAGAGAAGTTAACAGATCATGTGTAACTCGTATGGAGTTTAAAGACAAAGTTACCCAAACAGAAAAAACAGCCTATCGGATCATGCTAACAACTCATGTGTAAATCATGGTTTTGATATGATTTCGGTATAGGAAAATTTCACATGCAAATGAGCTAATGGATCATGGTTCTGAGATGATCTGTTAAACTAAACAACTAGCAAGAAAACCACGATCCTGGTATGATCTGTTGTAGAGCTAACAACTCGTATTAAAACCATGATCCTGGAATGATCTGTTGTAGCTAACAACTCGTATGAAAACCATGATCCTGGTATGATCTGTTTTAGCTCACAACTCATATTAAAACCATGATCCTGGTATGATCTGTTGTAGCTAACAACTCGTATTAAAACCACGATCCTGGTATGATCTGTTGTAGCTAACAACTCGTATCAAAATCATGATCCTGGTATGATCTGTTAAATTGAACAACTCATAGGAAAATTCTACTTCTTATACAATTTAACTAAACACTTTGATATTTGCAATAGAGTTCTCTTTAATATTTGATAAATAATTTAAGTTACCAAAAATTAACAAAAATATTATGCACATATGTCACATGAACCATGACGTCATATAAATATAATCCCAACAAATGATCTTCCTTAATAAAATGACGATTTGCATATAAAACATTATCCAAACTATTCACTGAATTTTGTAAGAACAAAATCACTGAAATCCATTCTTCTTAAAGAATAATCCGGAACTCATTGATATCACTGCTTATTTATGATTCTGCAAAACCATATAATTACAACATTTGTTCACTACAGAATCAGCACAGTGGTGGATCTATTATTCAGAATCACAAACACTGAAAGGGCTCCAAATGAAGTTGTCTATCCTCTGATATAATCTCTTTATATGTGTATATAAGCACCCTGAAAAGAAACGTAGAGAAAGTGGTATTTATTTATCGATCAACATATAATTATCTTTAGATCATGAATATAAAATATTCAAGTACTTTTCCCATTGCATTAGTGAAAAGAATTGGATTAATCACCAAAAGAATAATATTGTTGAAATGTAATATTATTTACGTACACAAATGTTGTCTTCACCGAAGGCGGGTCTTTTGAATTTGGTAATTTGAATGCAACTCAGATGTTAATCATGAAGATGGAAATGTCGGTAGCTGCAAAAGAATTTCATTTTTATAAATAATCATTTTATATAACGATTAACATGTACATGTACAGCAAATATTTCAATCAAGGAGGTCAATTTGATGCTTAAATTAAGTTTTTCAATTCAAATCCATGTAAAGCTTTGCTATGTCTCTTCTACACATTTACAAAGAAAAAATAAATCATGCACTTGCTGGTAGAAATTAGAAATTAAAAAAAAAGGTCAATAATAAAATTAATGAATTATATACTCACCGAGTATAGAGTTAATAAATAGTCCAGCACTTATTTTTATTGCTTATATGATGCAAAGGCTTTTCTTTTAAATCGGCAACAAAAAAACGCGCACATCTTGTTTATCAGAATTCAAATTCTGACCTAGATCAGCTGCAAACCACTGTACTACAGCGTGCTGCCCAGCAGGAGAATTGCATAACAAGGTTACTATGACTCTGAAACTGACCAGTGATCCAATCCTAATCTTATGCCTCAAAGTAAGATTGGGAGTGGATTGCAAATATTACATGAAGGTTAAAAGTTTTGATAAAATCCTGGCTGCGTTATTTAAACAAAAAACATGTGTGCTAATTTAAATATGATAATTGTATATGTTTGTCATTTCATTCACTTTCAAAAAAATTACTGTCTTTGTAACTATACCTGTACATGTTGTGTGCATTTTAATAATTAAAACCTAATTTTCCTGTTCTCTTTTAAATAAGACTTTTATTGATGTATGCATGTTGTTTGATTCTCCAAGCTAGAGTGAATTTATAGCTTGCATTTTCACCTATCATAGATGACAAAGTTAACAAACCATATCAGGATCATACAACCAATTCTGACAAAGTCAACAAATCATATAAAACTCATGATTCTCAACAGAGAAGTTAACAGATCATGTGTAACTCGTATGGAGTTTAAAGACAAAGTTAAGAAACCATATCAAAATCACAAACCTTTAGCAGTTAAAGTTAAGGAATCATTTCAAACTCATGTTCCTTTGTTTTCGAAGTTAATGGCACATGCCAGAATCGCAAGAAAATCATAGCAGACTCATAGCCAAGAAACAAACCACATCAGGATCATACTTCCTTATTTGTCATCTATGAGTTTTGTATGATCCATTTAATGGATCATGTCTAAATCATAGTTCAAAACCATGAATTCGTGAGTTTGATATGATTTGTATGTGATTTTGGCATGATTTGTTAAGAAAAGTTTTTGTTTGGGTAAGAAACCATATCAAAATCACAAACTTTTAGCAGTTAAAGTTAACGAATCATTTCCAACTCATGTTCCTTTGTTTTCTAAGTTAATGGCACATGTCAGAATCGCAAGAAAATCATAGCAGACTCATTCCCCAGAAACAAACCACATCAGGATCATACTTCCTTATTTGTCATCTATGATTTCAGTATGATCCATTTAATGGATCATGTCTAAATCATAGTTCAAAACCATGAATTCGTGAGTTTGATATGATTTGTATGTGATTTTGGCATGATTTGTTAAGAAAAGTTTTTGTTTGGGATTTTAGCTTTAATCTACAGGGGGTCATTTTTCTACGGGGGTCATTTTTCTTTCACGTGGGTTCTGCAAATTTTTAGGGAAGTGACACTTTTCTGGGCAAAAGGGTCATTTTTCTACGTCGAATAATGACCGGGGGTCATTTTTCGCTGTCAAAAAATGACCCCCGGTCATTATTCGATGGGGGTCATTATTCGTCTTTACACCGGTCGACCAATCAACCTTACAGAGTTCACAGGGTCAAACCTCTCCTTGGGATGACATGGACTTGTTTTCTAGTCTTGAGACACAGTCTTCTACCTCATGATAAGAAATTGACATCTTTTCAGCTGGACAAAAAAGTGCATTTAGATAAAGGGGAAAACTCTTGAACCCTCCTAATGATTTAAATGCATCACTATGGAACGCCAGGACTGTCTTATATGAAGATTAAATATTATATGCAGTGCTTCCTTTATTATATGCGGTACTATTTTTATTATATGAAGTAGTTTTTACATTATATAGTGTACAACCTCCATTACATGCAGTACTTCTTTCATTATATGATGTAGATATGTCATTATATTATGTACATCTATCATTATATGAAGTGCTTTTAACATTATATGCGGTAGTTCTAACATTATATGCGGTAGTTCTATCATTATATGCAGTAAACACAACAATATATTATGTACTTTCACATTATATACAGTACATTCATCATTATGTGTAGTATTTCTGTTATTATGATGATGCTGATCATTAAATATTATGTCCGGTCCAGTTAGCATTTCGTGCGGTAGATTTTGCATTTCGTTATGATGTAGACACAGTATTATATGCGGTGCTTTCTTCTTTATGATGATGATCTTTCGGAAGCTACACTTCGGAACTCTCTGTTCTAGGTTCTTTCTATTAACTGTTGAATTCAGTACAATAAAAATACATGCGCGTATTCTTTATGTCTCTGATTAAGGCAGTGAATAATAAATGCTACATGAACTGATTAAATTGTTTTTTAAAAGATAAGAAGTATGGTAATAGAGTAAAATAAAATGCCATCTATTTTATGGTATAAAGTAAGAGAGAGAGAGAGAAAGAAGGGGAGTGGGAAAAGAAATGAAGATTTTTTCTTTCTTGTGAACAATATGGCATTCAAATAGATTCGTTTCATATGTAGAGCAATCAATTTCAAAATGGGTAATGAAAAAAAAATAACTGATGTCTTCGAGTACGCAGGTCTTTAACAGCGCGTTATAGAAAACATTACATTATTTATTTACTTGTTTTTTGGGGTGGGGTGTGCTAATTTTTCATAATGTAAAATTACCCTTTATCTCTCAATTTAATAGGCACAAGGGTTTCTACCACATATCTTTTTAAAAGTAAATTCTTGAAGCACAATCCACGACGACTCAATACAGTGACGTAGACGTTGTTTTTGAAAGTGGGAGGGGGGGCGGTTGAGCCGGAAAAAAAATAACTCAAGTTACCTGAAGAAAGTGGACAAGTCAAAAAACATTGAGAATTTTCAATAGTAAAAATTATGTTTAGGAAAAGGGGGAGGGTTTTACTACGCGCGTGTATAATGTCTGCTCTGAAAATTGCATGTCTTTTCCTGATACATATCATTTATATAGTACAGTAAAAGACGGTGAATATCATACATTTTTTATATGCCATAGTTTAACAATTAATACGATGGAATGGTAAAAATAGTTCAATGATAAGCGCATCTCTCTCGCTCTTTCTCTCTCTCTCTCATTGTAATTAAACTACTGAAGTATTGACATGACTTCGAAATTCCTTTAATTTCGGTAATGTAGGGATAATATAATTAATAAGTCAACAAAATCTTAACAAGCTTGAAATTCAACCATATGATACTTAATTTTTACCAATTCCAAAAATCTTTGTTCTTTTTTAACTGGATTGAAAATAAGTGTCCACAAAATAAAGATAGAGGTTGGCAGATTATGTTACCCAAGAGATGAAAGATATTCTATCAACTGTTGTTGAAGATGAACATAATTTTTTATTTGTTTGTGCCCTCTTTATAAACAACTTATCATGCGCAGATCTAGAGGGGATCGGTGAACCCCCCCCCCCCCCCCCTGGACTTTGCAAATACTAAAGCAAGAAAAGGTAACCTTGGACCACCCTCGGAAATCGCAGACCCCCGCCCCCTGGTAACCGCAAATTTGTGTTAAATTGGTATGAAAAGTCAGAGATTTGAAAAACTAGAAGTCATTGACCCCCCATTGTAATAGGTATTTGAAATTTAGGCGATTGTACCTTTTTTTCGGGGGTGGTGGATTTTATTTATTTGGACTGGGGTTACCCCCCCCCCTAAAAAAATCTGGATCCGCGCCTGAACTAAAAAGTGAATTTTGTACACTTTACAAAAATACATGTATAACTTATGAAATTCTTAATTCAGCAGATGTTAAATATACAAGAAATATTTGTATCTTCATACGTGTTGCATTTAATTAATATAAGAAAATCCATGTGACTATATAAATACTTGCGCCACATGTCTTTTTTTTGTCAAAATAAATAAATAAAAAAAAATATAACCTAAATCCATGAAGAATGTCCATATTTAAGAATGCAAAAAGTAAAACTTTCTAAATATAACAGAGGGGTTCCGAAGGGTAGCTTCCGAAGATCATCATCATAAAGAAGAAAGCAACGCATATAATGCTGTGTGTACGTCGTAACGAAATGCAAAATCTACCGCACGGAATGTTTAAAGGACCGAACATAATATTTAGCGATCATCATCATCATAATAACAGAAATACTACATACATGTATAATGATGAATATACTGTATATAATGTGAGAAGTAAATAATATATTGTTGTGTTTACTGCATATAATGTTAGAACTACCGCATATAACAATAGAACTACCGCATATAATGATAGAACTACCGCATATAATGTTAGAACTACTGCATATAATGTTAAAAGCACTTCATATAATGATGAAGAGTATATTATAATGACATATCTACATCATATAATGAGAGAAGCACTGTATATAATGGAAGCTGTACACAATATAAAGTAAAAACTACTTCATATAATAAAAATAGTACCGCATATAATAAAGTAAGCACTGCATATAATATTTAATCATCATATAAGACAGTCCCGGCGTTCCATACATCACGCTGCAGTTCTGTGGATATAAGCAAAGTGAATGTGACATATCTTAAAAAGACTGTTGCAGTGCTCATGTAACTGCTGATTATATTGCTTCTTTTTTACCATGAAAGATAATAGCTTGTACATAGTAAAACAAGTCCATGTACCACATACATACATGAATGTGCAATATCTCCTACTGAAAATCCTTGTAGTAATTTTTTTAGAGGAGTGTTTATAAAAATAAAAATTAGATGTTTAGTTTTGAAACTTATTCCATATGACATTGTGTTATATTGTGCTTTCTTTTTAAAGTCTTGTTTGATGACTGTGCTATATTGCTTCAAGAACTAGTCTGCATCTTTTCATGCAAACATGATGGTTGTTTATCATGAGTACAGTTTCTGTGATATATTCATTTGTAACATTGAAAATGAAAACGTTTTATGTATGGTTCTAGTTGACTGGTCTCAGCTATCTACAGCTATTGATCTGTCTGTCTGTTTGTGTCCATATCAGTGTTTGGAGTTCATAGAATTGATATGGGGCCACTCGGGCTGATATGACATATGATATGTATTTAAGTATGTAATATTCTGTGTATCATTTCGACAGGCATTAAATAATTGTTATTACCTAATTTTATTTTCTGTATTATCGCA